TTTGAAGACCCAGTGAAACCCACATCTTTTGCTGAGATGTTTGTCCCTCTGGTCTGTGCCATTGAAGAGGACTGAATTAATGCAGAGGAATTGGCAATTTCTGTATATGAAGCGGAGCTTTCTGTTGCATGGGTAGATGTGCTATTTGTCAGAGATTGTGATGGCCTTTCATCGCTTCCGGTTGACGTAGCTGAATGGTATGTGCTGTCAGTATAAGGACTGGAAATCCTTTTTTCTGTATTTGAGCTGCTAAGAGACTGATGGTTACTTCCAATGGCTGAAATGAGATTAAAGAAGGAATCAGAAGGAATGTGAGATCTATAACAATTTTACCCTGAAATACAAGGCCAAATAAATCTCACGGATAACTCCAAAAGTTCAATGGAGCAATACATGGGATTAATTGGGTTTATAAAGATTTAAAAAACAATAATAGCTGCGTATATATCACTGAGTATTTAAATAAACAGTATGATTTCTAATAAATTCAAACCATTATGAGCAGGACTTTCTAAGAATGATTGACACAACGTGTGTCAGTAGAGTTGGAATGATGCATTAGACTTACTTGTATGAATCGGAGTGGCCAGGAAGTTAACAGTCTCCTATACTAAGAAGACATGGTCCACTTTCCTACACTGATGGCTCACTGTTAAATACCAAATGCTGTGGAGGGGACCCCATTGAAGAGAATCAGTACTGCTTACAAATATTGCGCCCGGAAACTGCAAAGGCTCTGAATTTGTTAGTGATAATAGTATGTATAACCCACACTGGGGAGGCATGGGAGAGAACGTTTCTCTTATCAAAATGAGATTTTTGAGTTTAGAAAACTCACTGGACATATCATTTGGTAAAGAAAACGTTGAGATCTCAGAAGACTCTGTAAGCAAAGGCTCGGTGGAAGGCTCCATGAAATCGGCATCACTTGATGAGATACTGAAACCTCCAGTCTGTGATACAGAAGACAAGAACTGGGTTGAGTCTGAAGACTTGGCTGCATCTCTAGTAGTCGTGAAGATTTCTGCTGCCACAGTCGATGTGCTGCTGTGAGTTTGAGACTCAGATGTCTTCTCCCCACCTCTGGTGAAAGCTGTTGACACGTACGTCCTGTGAGCAGGAGAACTGGAAATCCCCTTTTCTCGGTCCGAAATTATAACTGATTGATGGCTACTTCCAACTCCTGAAAAAGAATTAAAATCTGAAAATTAAAGTTTTTATACGTACATCTTGAGCAGATCAGTACTTACACACATGTACACACACCTGAAAAGAAATTTGGATGTTATTCACTCTTTAGGACATTGTAGGGAGCTATTAGGTGGCATAACTGACTTTTACACCAACTGCTTCTCACACCCAACCTGACAGGTGGAATAGTGGAAGCATGCTGGGACATACTAGGGAGAAGGGCAGGGCATGCCTGCACTACAGGAAACCCTCGCCATTCACAGTGGATGTGTTCCTGGCACCACCGTGAATGGTGAAATTCGTGAATACTGGGAGCCATGGCTCCTGGCCCCTGCAGTGAGCTCCCCGCAGCTCCTGAACAGGCCACAAGGGGGACTCACAGCACACCCGCCTGCTACAGGGAGTTCCCTAAAGCTCCTGACCCCTACTGCACCCCCTCATTTTTTCCAGAGTATGGGTTCTTTCAAAAAAAAAAAAAAAAGGGGGGGGGGGTTCCGAAAGAACCGCATTTAGACTGCGGTTTCACTTTCGAAATACCCTTTTTCGAAACAGCGATTGAACATGAATGTGCTAATGAAGCACGGGATATTTAAATCCGCACTTTATTTGCACTTTCAATCGGGCTCATTTACATCCCTCTTTCGACAGAAGGAGTAATCTAGATGTGCCCTAAAGGTTTGTCAATTAGACATACTGCAGTTAGACACTGGGGCTGTCCTCTACCAGCTGACTTAGGCTCCACTGGCTATTTATAGATATTTAGGCTCAAGATGGAGCCAAGATCTGGCACCCTTCCACCTTGTAGCACTGCAGAGCCTATGTTCCAGCTAAGCCTGAATGTCTACACTGCAGTTACACAGCTCCTGAGCCCAAGCCCTGCAAGCCTGAGTCAACTGGCATAGCCAGCTGCAGGTTTTTAATGGCAGAATCAACCCTAACAGCCTGAATCTCTCCTCATATTCACACTAATATCTTACAATACATATAACCCCATTCAGCATAATGGGTCTAACTTGCAGGATACCGCTGGACATAAACAATTGTGCCAGAATCTGGCAGAGAAAAAATGAATTATTATTTTTGAAGTGATTAAAATATTTGGAGCAGTGTTACACAATAAGGCTAGTCCAAGGTTAGGGTGCTTAGTTGGGACCCCCATATTTAGCTCCCTGGTCTTCTGAAAACTTTCTGTCTGACCTCGGAGAGATCACTTGGTTTTTCTTTGCCTGAGCTCCCTAGTGGTCAAACTGGGATAACAGTGCTCACCAGGATGTTGGGAGAATACAGTTTGGTGCCCAGACATGATGGTATTAGCAGCCTGTCATAGGTATGAGTCTGAGTTAAAGAGAAACTAATTCTTTAATGAAAAGGGTTGACTTAATTGGGGGGGAGGAGGGAAGGGTTAGGAAGTTCTCTCTTATTGTTATTTAAATTGTGCAATAACCAGCATGGAACTGCAAAACTCACCAGCAAGATCACTGGATGAAGATGAATGAGTTGGGATCTCTGAAGAATGTGTAAGCAAAGACTCGGTCGAAGGCTCAATGAAGTCACTTGATGAGATAATACCTCCTCCCGTCTGTGCTACAGAAGACGAGCGCTGGGGTAAAACTGAAGACTCAGTATTTTCTAAGTTAGAAGTAGAGCTTTCTGCTGCATCAGGTGACATGCTGTTTGTCAAGGACCTTAACGTTGTCTCTCCTCTGGGGAATGTCGTTGCAATGTAAGTACTGTTGGTATGCAAATCAGAAGTCCTTGTCTCTGTAACTGAGATGCTAATGGGTTGGTGGCTACTTTCCATGACTACTTTCCAAGGCTCAGTGAAGTCACTAGATGAGATATTATTTTCTCCAGCCTCTGCTACAGGAGTCGAGGGCTGCGGTAAATCTGAAGATTTGGTATTTCCTAAATAAGAAGTGGCACTTTCTGCTGCAGCAGGTGATGTGCTGCTGTTTATTAGAGATGTTAAGGTCCTCTCTCCTCCTCCAGTGAATGTCGTTGATATATAGGTACTGGAAGTATGCAAATCAGAAGTCCTGTTCTCTGTAGCTGAGATGCTAATGGGTTGGTGGCTACTTTCCATGACTAAAATATGAAAAAGAGAAATTATAATTTCATGTGCATAATTCCAAATACATGATTGAATGTTCTTCCAAAAGAACAGAGATGAACACAGTGTATGAATGTTAAAACAGGGTAGGTTTCAGCCTGGAGAAAATGCTGCTTTGGAAAGGCATGTACACTCCTTAGTTACTAACACCTGAAATTATTATTTGCAAAAAAGAAAATGAGCAGAGCCATGAATAATGCCACCAAAAATAATGGTGGAACTAACAAGCTGCATGGTTAACTTCACCATCCAGTTACACTGTTTGCATTGCATGCTGTTGGCACAAAAATTATAAATCTGTACAAATAATGTCAGTACAAGGAATGCAAATTCTTTTTACTCTATTTGAGCTGTTAAGGCACAGATAGCTATGTCCAATGGGAGATACGATATCCAAAGGTGGAAATTACATTAAATCAAAATGGATTTACAAATTCTATAATAATTGTGCTTAAAATACAGGACCAAATAAATCCAGTGTGTGGCTCTATTAACTAAAAGGGATATTTATGAACAGAACTCTCAGAGAATGAAAGGTATAGATAAAATGAGTATCATTAGAGCTTGAATAATGTCTATAATTTATATGATCAAGTGTGACCCAAGCAGTCAGATAGTGGGCATTCTCCTACACTTAGAAGGTGGGGTCCACTTACCCATGTTGTTACCTTAATAACACTCGTGTGTATATATGTGTACACACACATATATAAAATCACATCTGGAAATTGTTCAGTTTTTTAGCACCTGATGATAACTTCAAAGAAAAGAATTGTGTGGAACTTTATGGCTGAGATTCCAGTGGCTGACGCAGAGGAGAAAAATGAGAGAGAATGAGGGAACTTGCCTTAAATGGCCAGCAGAAAATTCCCTTGGTGAAGTGAAGGTCTCGGCTGGCTTTTGCACCAACTGCCCCCTACAAGCAAGTACTGGAGTACTGGCTGCATGCTGGGGCTACCAAAGGGGCAGGGCATACCTGCACTACCTCAGTTCTGAGTGGAGTTATGCTTTCTTAAAGAGATAGCCAGATGGTGTACCCTAGAATAGCCCCTAAACTGCTCTAAATTATGCTGATGGATGTGGGCCACTGCACATGAAGAGGGGAATTGGGAAGATGTAATTTTGCTCCAAGACAATTTCCCTTCCTCCTATGCTAAGAAAGGCACTGTTGGATAGGAGGAAAATCTGGCAGAGAAAATATGCGGATATTGTAGGGAAGGGAAGGCTGGCCCAGCTGACAGAGTATTAGCTTGGGAAGAGACTTGTATGAGTATGAGACTTGGGAAGCCAGAGATCAAATCCCAGCTCTTCTGCAAACTCCCTGTATGACCTTTATCTAGGTTCTCTGTGCCTCTCCATTTCCTATCTGTAAAATAGGGGAAATAGTACTTCCCTGACTCATAGGGTGGTTGTGAGGAAAAATACATGGCAAATCGTGAGGTACTAAGTTAATAGAAGCAATACAAGGACCTGTGCACCTCAGTCCTTTGTGTCCTCACCTGTGGTGCATAATAGTCTGGCCTCCTGGAGGCTGTAACACTGTGGACTCATTTCCATCATTGGCTTAAGTGGGTGTATGTCTGGTGCCCTGTGACATACAGGAGGTTAAACACAATGATCTAGTGGTTCCTGTGGCCTTACATGGGTTTGAGTTACTAAAGAGCATCTGAGTTTTCAAAAAATGGGTTGACTGAGTTTTCTGGGAGCCAAGGGCTCTTTTTACCACATTTTTATTACTGCAGAATAATCAGGTGGGATTCACAAAACCCACCTAAAAGATCATTTGGTGAAGATGAATCGCTTGGGGTCTTGGAAGAATGCGTAAGAGGCTCTGTGGAAGGCTCAGTGAAGTCACTTGCTGAGATGTTATTTCCTCCAGCATGTGTTACAGGCGACAAGGGCTGGGGTACATCCGAAGACTCGGTATTTTCTAAATAAGAAGTAGAGCTGTATGCCACATCAGGTAACATGCTATTGTATGTTACAGACCTTGCTGTCCTCTTTTCACCTCTGACAGATATCGTTGGAATATATGTACTCGAGGTATGCAAATCAGAAGTCCTTGTTTCTGTAACGGAGATGCTAATTGGTTGGTGGCTACTTCCAATAGCTAAAGTGGGATTAAAAGATGGAAATCATAATTAATATGCCAAAATCTGATAGGATTTGTGAGTACTACAATAATATTGCTCTAAAACTTGGGACCAATTATGTCTCAGATATCATTTCATCAATTTAAATGGAGCTCAACATGGGATAAATGTTGTTTATAAAAAGACTAGATAAATAAAAACAAGTGGTGTATTAAATCATAGGGCATTTATTTTCTATTGAGTCAAACCTTCATAAAAAGGACTATCCAAGAATGCAAGGCACAGACCACAATGAATTTAATTAGATGTGGAATGATGCATTGAAATGATTATAAATAAACCACAAACCAAACTAACCATGTGTTAGACACTCTCCCAATTAAGAAGATATGATGCATTTCCTACATTTTTATCTTAACAATACTTATTGATGCATATGTATACTTCATGGGATAATAAATCTGGAAATTATTCAGTCCTTAGAAAATTATAATTATTTAAAAGATTACCAAGTGAAAACTGTGGCTTAGATTCCGCTAGTTGTTCCAGAAGAAAAAGTTTGTAGAGATTAGAGTTCTGTGAAAAACAAACTTTTTAAATTTCTGGAAATTAAAAAAAACCCACACACATACAAACGTTTTGGGCTGACCAAACAACAACTTAATTTGAAATTCTTTGGTGAACTGAAAAATTAAAAAAAAAAAATCAGTTGAACAAAAGTGTTATAGTTTGATTTTAAGTGCTTTAAAAATATTTTTTAAAACAAAATGGAAGGAGATTTCTAAATGAAAAATCATCTTAAACCAAAAAATGAAAACAATTAAATTAAAAAATATCACAGTGAAGCCTTTTGACTCAGGCAGGTGGATTGAGAGAAACTGGCACTAAATGGCTTTTAGCTGCAATTGCTGGCTTTTACGTCAACTACCCCCACCCACAGCCTGCAGGGTAGAATTATGGAGGCGCATTAAGAATGGCAAGGGGCAGGACAGGGTATTACTTCACTATACCTATTCTAAATAGGCCGATGGGCCCACAGAGACAACTAGTGAGGTAAATTAGAGCAGCCCGAAGGTCGCACTAACTTATGCCAGTGGGCTAGGCCCAGTACAAATGCACCATGAAAATCAAGAAGATATAATGTGCTCCCTAGCAGCTGCTTGACTCCCATTCCACACACACCTCAGCCCAGGAATCTGAGCTTTTATATTCAGAAATCTTAAGAACTATTGTCATCTTTCTGTAAAAAGTGGGCTCAAACCTCTCAAGGTTAATACTAGAGCCAAAGTTTGTTATGAGATGCAGTGAAGTTATTGAAGGTGTAAGTCAATGACTTTTGAATTGGAACTTGACAACGCTAGAAATATTTAGAGGTACAGCCCACAACTGTAGTGTAAATATAAGAAATCGAGATTATCTGCTTTGCTAATCCAGCTAGCAGGTAAAGAATCCCTACGGGCTTGAATTTCCTCTCTTATTCACACTGAGTCATTCCTTCCTGTGTAAGTAGTCTCATTCAGCATAAAGGGAGTACTTGCATGGCATGGTTCTGCTGGACATGAGCAATGATGGCAGTATCTGATAGGGAAAAAGGATGACATTATAGAGAAATAAATGGATTGCTACTTTTTAACAAAAGTGATTAAAATGATCAGAGCAGTGTAGATGGGTAGCATAGTCCGGGGACCACAGCGGTAGGTAGGGACTTGAGAGATCTGGATTCAGCATCCTCCTCTGCCACAGACTTCTTGAGGACCCATAGGTAAGTCACGTAGCATCTCTGGGCCTCCGTCCCCCACCTATAAAATGGGAATAATAATCCCTACCTCACAGAGGTGTTGTGATGATGTGTACTTTGAATATTATTACGTGCTCAGATAGTATGGTAATGGGGGGGGGAGGGAGAGTGTATAAAGATCTTTGATAGGGATCAGTCTGGCTTAAAGAGAAACTGGTTCTATTTTTTTTTTTTTTAAACGTTGACTCGGGGGTTTTTTTGGGGGGAGAGGGGACAACAAAAGCTTCTTTCTATTGTTTTATGTTTTTATAAACGGAGCACTAACTAGCTGAGAATCACAAAACCCACCTGCAGGACCATTTGGTGAAGATGAATAACTGTGGATCTTGGAAGAATGCGTAAGCAAAGGCTCGGTGGAAGGCTCAGTGAAGTCAGTAGATGAGATATTATTTTCTCCAGCCTCTGCTCCAGGAGACAAGGGCTGCGGTAAATCTGATGATTTGGTATTTCCTAAATAAGAAGTGGTGCTTTCTGCTGCAGCAGGATATATGCTGCTGTTTATTAGAGATGTTAAGGTCCTCTCTGCAGCTCTGGTGAATGTCGTTGATATATAGGTACTGGAGATATGCAAATCAGAAGTACTGTTCTCTGTAGCTGAGATGCTAATGGGTTGGTGGCTACTTCCAGTAGCTAAAGTGGGATTAAAAGATGGAAATTAAGTTTGATAT